GGTGAGTGTCGGGGTATTCCTAGAAAACTCTCCGCTGGTATAGACTGTATATACATCATCATACTCATGTACTGCAATGTACAGAGCAGAGTACAGGGGAGGGGGTGAGTGTCGGGGTATTCCTAGAAAACTCTCCGCTGGGACAGCTTGTATATACATCATCATACAAATATATTGCAATGTACAGAGCAGAGTACAGGGGAGGGGGTGAGTGTCGGGGTATTCCCAGAAACCTCTCCGCTGGGACAGCTTGTATATACATCATCATACAAATATATTGCAATGTACAGAGCAGAGTACAGGGGAGGGGGTGAGTGTCGGGGTATTCCCAGAAAACTCTCTCCACTGGTATAGCTTGTACATACATCATTATACGAATATACTGCAATGTACAGGGCAGAGTAGAGAGGAGGGGAGGGGGGTAGGCTGTGTGCACGGAGCTCTCCATGGTTCTGAAATGACAACACGATCCAGCTCTATACTACATTCCTGCCATCGTATACTTATATCAGACATACTAACAATTAATACTACATTTCTGTGATTGTATACTGATATCAAACATACTAACATCTAATACTACATTCCTGTCATGGTATACATACATCAGACGTACTAACATATAATACTACATTCATGTCATGGTATACATACATCAGACATATTAACATCTAATACTACATTCATGTCATTGTATACATACATCAGACTTACTAGCATCTAATACTACATTCATGTCATGGTATACATACATCAGACATATTAACATCTAATACTACATTCCTGTGATTGTATACTGATAACAGACACAGAGGTGAAGAGGTGTGTGCATGTACTATGTGCTCTCCCTGGTGCTGAACAATCTGTAATAGACACAAGTGTACACAATACATTCATGTCATCATGGATATACTTTTATGAGAGATCATATGAAGATATTCTGGAGAAATGTATAATAACAGTGGGCAGAGAAGGTGGGTGAGTGTGTGCATGTACTGTGTGTTCTCTTCCTGGTGCTGAATAATCTGTAATATACACAAGTGTACATAGTACATTCATGTCATGATGGGTATACTTATATGGGGCATCATATGAATATATTCTGGAGGAGTGTATAAAACAGAGGATAGTGAAGGTGAATTAGTGTGCTGTTGTACTATGTGCTCTCCATGGTGCTGAACAATCTGTAGCAGACTTAAGTGTACACAGTACATCCGTGTCATTATGGGTTTATTCATGTCAGGCATCATATGAATATATTCTAGAGGAGTGTATCATAACAGAGGAAAGTGAAGGTGGATGAGTGTGCGTATACACTGTACATCCATGTCATGATGGGTTTATTCATGTCAGGCATCATATGAATATATTCTAGAGGAGTGTATCATAACAGAGGACAATAAGGATGGATGAGTGTGTGGACGTACTATGTGCTCTCCATGGTGCTGAACGATCTGTAATAGACACAAGTGTACACAGTACATCCATGCCATGATAGGTATACTTATGTCGGGCACCATATGAATATATTCTGGGAGGTGTGTATAATAGAGGAAAGTGAAGGTGGATGAGTGGGCGGATACATGGTACATTCATGTCATAAGTATGGGGCATCTTGTGGAAATATTCTGGAAGAGTGTACAGTGACACAAGAAAGGTGTGTGAGTGTGCAGATGCACTGTGTGCTCTCCATGACACTGACTGCTTTGTACTGGACACAGGACAGGGTGCAGAACACTAATATACGCTGAGCATTATAGGAAACCATTCCAGGAGTGTATAATAAGGTCCTGGAATGTGTCAGCACTCCATTTTGCTGACCGCTATATAGTAGACATAGGACACACATCATTGCACGGATATACTTATATTATAAGACATAACATGAAAACATGCGAAACAAGTGTATAATATAGCACATGGAAGGTTGAGTGTGCTCTCCAGGGTGCTGAACGCTCTGCAGTGCACACGGGACACAGGCATGCCATGGGTTATGTCAGGCATCATATGAAATGATTGAAGTGTATGAATGTGAAGATGGATTGTGAGTGTGAGGCTGCATTATGCCCTGGGAGCAATCTGTGCTGCTAAACGATCGGTAGTAGTGGACACAGGACCAGAACTAGGCACTAATGTACACATGACATTTGTATCATGGGTACACTACCGTCAAGCATGACATATAAACATTCGGAGAATGGTACTTCATAACACAAAGAAGGGGAATTTCGTGTGTGCACTGTGTGCTGGGAGCTCTGTGGGGCTGAATAATCTGTAGTAGACACAAGACAAGATGCTTAGCACTAATGTACATGACATATTCATGCCATGAGTACACATATCAGGCAGCAAAAGATAATATTCGAGGGAGGTTTGTAATATCGAAAAGGAAATCTCAGTGACTCGCCTGCATTGTGTGCTCTCCATGCTGCTGGACGCTTTGTAGCAGAGAGTGAAGAGACTGAGCACTAAGGTACACATTCATTTCATGAATACACTTTTATTCACACATGTCAAATGAAACAGAGGTAATGCTGAGCTCCGAGTCCTCGCCATCACCTCCTCAGAATGAAGTGTACAACGTGGCCGTCTGCTCCCTATAATAGTACACAGAGCAATGGTGTGCCCGTTCTCCGGTGAGCATGCCAGACTGTGACACTGATCTCCCCGCACATGCACTCTGTGACCTTTTCCATGACGGGGATACAAGGATTCTGGAGTCACATTATAAGCTTCTTCTTGGCTGCAAGTTTAGGAATGTATTTCTCAGCAACTATCAGGATGCCACGACTGGCTCATCATTCACTCGGCACCCGATAAACAGACGACGCAGAAAATAAACAGTCCGACATAAAAGCAATCCTCTCCACTCACTTCACAAGCAGCAATAGATCACATGACACTCCATCCCACTTCACCTGGGATCGCCCTGCACTCCTAATTGTTACATCTCACTTCAGGAACGGTACACAGTGTGATGGACATTGCAAACAAAACACTTTTCCTACACCTGGTGCGACAACATACTGAAAAGTTACATCATCCGGGTCTACAACAAATTTACACACTTTATTCTGTTTCCCCAATCCAGATTACTTTTACTATACAGGTGAAACTCGAATAATGAGAATATTGTGCAAAGTTCATTTATTTCACTAATGAAACAATATATAGAGAGATATAGAGATATCTATAGAGATATCTATATATATAGATATCTATCTATCTATCTATCTATCTATCTATCTATCTATATATCTATATATCTATATATAGATATATATATATTCTCAATTCCCTTACATGTTATTGCAAACGACCCCTTTACTATACAAGTTGCTTGCACCTCTCCGTCTATTCATATTGATTGATCAAAATGAAACCATGACTATGGACTTACTGTAATCACCATGGATCATACACCATCAGATCACTCACACATCAGTATACAGCTGTCTGGTAAGGAGAACTGCCCAGCGTATATTCCAATGTGTTTTAGATTGTCTGTTATCAGATCTTATTTACTCATCACACGCACTGTTTTTGCACACTTTTTACCCCCACCAAAGACGGTTTAGCAGCAGTTAAAATGAGTCAGCAAAGCGTTATTTCAGGCTTTTAAAGAGTGCAGCATGTGGTCCGATGAGAGCTGGAACTCCAGCACACATGTACTATTCTCATCACATGAAGAAAGTCTGTAAGTGGAGTGTTCTTTTCATATCTGACTGAAGGAGCCATGCACACATCTCATGTATACATACATCTACATGCTGCAAAACTCCAGCACACACAAACTATTCTCATCACATGAAGAAAGTCTGAAAGTGGAGTGTTCTCTACATCTGACTGAAGGAGCCATGCACACATCTCATGTATACATACATCTACATGCTGCAAAACTCCAGCACACACAAACTATTCTCATCACATGAAGAAAGTCTGAAAGTGGAGTGTTCTCTACATCTGACTGAAGCAGCCATGCACACATCTCATGTACACATACATCTAGAAGCTGCAGAACTCCAGCACACATTGCATATTCTCATCACATGAAGAAAGTCTGAAAGTGGAGTGTTCTCTACATCTGACTGAAGGAGCCATGCACACATCTCATGTATACATACATCTAGAAGCTGCAGAACTCCAGCACACGTGTACTATTCTCATCACATGAAGAAAGTCTGTAAGTGGAGTGTTCTTTTCATATCTGACTGAAGGAGCCATGCACACATCTCATGTATACATACATCTAGAAGCTGCAAAACTCCAACACACGTGTACTATTCACATCACATGAAAGTGGAGTGTTCTCTACATCTGACTGAAAGAGCCATGCACACATCTCATGTACACATACATCTAGAAGCTGCAGAACTCCAGCACACATGGCATATTCTCATCACATGAAGAAAGTCTAAAAGTGGAGTGTTCTTTTCACATCTGACTGAAGGAGCCATGCACACATCGCATGTATACATACATCTAGAAGCTGCAGAACTCCAGCACACATGGAATATTCTCATCACATGAAGAAAGTCTGAAAGTGGAGTGTTCTCTACATCTGACTGAAAGAGCCATGTACACATACATCTAGAAGCTGCAAATCTCCAGCACAACATGCTTCCAGCCAAGCTCGGAGCTTCCCATAAAATGATTCATCTGTCACACAAACAAGTCCTTCTCTTGAAACAAAAGTGAATTAATGAGACTTTGAGCGTGAAACACTGTCACCTTCCTGTGTCATGTACCACTACAAGTATGCACACCGACCAGCCAGCAATGTACTAAACAATCTGCTGCAGGAAAGGTAAGCGATTGTAACTTTATATGAAGGGTGCTGTGTATTAGAAGCCGGGGAGAGAAACACTGGTGGAGTGTCCTCAATTACACTTAGGACTATTTCCCTGAAACCTAGCGAAGTGCAAGTAACCGATGCAAAGACAATGACATTTGTGCACACACAGTAATGACTATATAGTAGAGGGTAATAAAGTGTTTACCTGAATTTCCCTGGCGTGGTACACAATAATGAGGCCGAGCAGGATAATCGTGGACAGGCTTATAAGGCATTTTAGGGCTAATGAGTAGAGCGATCCCTGCAACAGAAACACGGGTCAGTATGACAGTGAGCAGAACAGTGCAAGATTACTGACAGTCAGGGCACATGGAGTATGTAAGCTACCAGTCTTCCTACAAGAAGTCTCTTCATACTGGGGACATGCTTGCGTGCAGCTTGAACTATTCTCCTGGGGACACAAGCTATGCTTATTCTACAGGGAAAGGGCAGCCGTCAGGGCAACTGGATCACAGGGACACACAAACAAGTCCAGCCACTTCTCACACTGCCTCCTACAGAGCCAGAGAGGAATACAAGAGGGGTGATTGATCAGAAGGCCCCCCTACTTCATAGGGGCACAGCACTATTCAGATTATATAAAATAGGCTTTCACTGGCTGCATGCTGGATCACATGGACACACAAACACATCCACATGGCCTCCTACAAAGTGCTGTCATGTATCCAGAGAGGAATACAAGAGGGGTGATTGATCAGAAGGCCCCCCTACTTCATAGGGGCACAGCACTATTCAGATGATATAAAATAGGCTTTCACTGGCTGCATGCTGGATCACTTGGACACACAAACACATCCACACGGCCTCCTACAAAGTGCTGTCATGTATCCAGAGAGGAATACAAGAGGGGTGATTGATCAGAAGGCCCCCCTACTTCATAGGGGCACAGCACTATTTAGATTATATAGAATAGGCTTTCACTGGCTGCATGCTGGTGGCAGGAGGATCAAATGTGCACATTAACAGTCCATACTGCCTCCAACAAAGTGCTGTCATGTATCCAGAGAGGAATACAAGAGGGGTGATTGATCAGAAGGCCCCCCTACTTCATAGGGGCACAGCACTATTCAGATGATATAAAATAGGCTTTCACTGGCTGCATGCTGGTGGCAGCTGGATCACATGGACACATTAACAGTCCACACTGCCTCCTACAAAGTGCTGTCATGTATCCAGATAGTAATACAAGAGGGGTGATTGAACAGAAGGCTCTGGAGTCCAGCCCAGTTCAGCTATGAGCCACGATTTCAACTCTCTAAGAGTGTATTCAGATATCAAATGGACTTTCACTGGCTGCATGCTGGTGAGCATTGTATCACAGGGACACACAGGACCAGTGACTTCTGCGTCTTTCCAATGAGCTGTCTGATAAAACTCCTAATCATACAACATATATTTCACTGGCTGCTTGCTGGTGAGCATTGTATCCCAGGGACACACAAGACCAGTGACTTCTGCGTTTTTCCAATGAGCTGTCCGATCAAACTCCTAATCATACAAATAGATTTCACTGGCTGCATGCTGGTGACAACACAAACAAGCCCAGTCACTTCTCTCGCTAGGGGATGACTGATCGAGTTTCCTGCACTTCATAGAAGCCTAGCCTGGTTCAATCACACTATCAGCATCATATTCAATATAGCCTTTCACTGGCTGCATGCTGGTGGCCATCGGATCAAGTGACAGGTCCTCATGCAAAGTTGAGAAGTTGCCCAGAAAGTGATCAGCACTCAGGGGGGCCCCGGCCTGATTCAGCTCGTGAGCCACATATACACCTAACAAGGAGGAGAAGCGGTGATCGGATGCTATAGACGAGTCCATAGAGCGGCAGATCTTCAGCCACATGTGTCTCACCAGCCACCCCGGACCGGAGCTCCTCAGCCTTTACCTTGTCATAAGCTCCCCAAGAAAGTTCCGTCTCGATGACCATGACCACGATGCCGAACATCCCGAAGATGAGCGCGTAGTCGCTGAGGCGTTTGCGCTTCTCGAACAACGCTCTCCGATGCCCGAGCTTGTAGCCGATGTTCTGGTTCTTCTTCTTGCCGGACTTGTTCTGGCTCCCTGACGCCTGGTCCAAGGACGAGCCTCCGCTGTTGGGCACCAGGTTGTTGGAGTTGTGCTCGGGCTTGGAGACGACGATCTCCGGTGTGGCGCAAGACACCGGCTGCAGTGGCTGCGACTCCGAGTCCAGTTCGTGGAGGTTCCTGCGGGACGCGCTCAGGTTGCTCAGCGGTCTCATGACTCCGCCGTTGTACCTGCAGCTGCTCATGGCTATTTCCGTGAACGGGTTACTCTCCCGGCGCTGGCCGTTGATGCTGCTGCTGGGGCTCGCCTGTTGCCGGCTGTGGCACTGCTGGTACTGGGCAGGAGCAGGGGGAGGAGGAGGGTGATGGTGGTGGTGGTGGTGCGGAGTTCTGGACAAACTGGCATGGCTGGAAGGCGTCAACTCGCTCACGTTCAGCTGGCTGCCCTGCCGGGAGGAGGCGGAGGACAGGGGCGAGCTGCGGAAAGCGCCGGCGGTGATAGGGGAAGAGGTGCGCAGAAGTGGCAGGTTGTCCCCACCGTGGAACGAACAGTTGTTGCACTGGAGACACGGACCGTCCTGCTGCTGGAAAAAGAGCTGCTCGTCCGGGCTGTACTGCTGGGGAGGAGGAGGAGGCGGCTGCTGCTGCTCTGGGAAGAAGCCGTGCTGGAACTGCAGCGATGTTTCCATGTCAGACCTGTTAAAGCTGCAGGAGGACCGCCAGGCTGTGTACCCGGCGCAATGCGTTCTGTCAGGGATGGGGAAGTCCTCCTCAGGTCGGGAGGAAGGGCCCATCTCGGCTCCCGTAGAATCGAAGCGAAGCGTCCGATTGGTCGGGCGGACCAAAACAACGGGCATGACGTCAGCGCCTGGGCGGGGATATCAGCTGCTGGTGTGTGGAGTGAGCGCGGCTCTCTTCAGTGTGTTCCAGTGCCGGCGCGGGGAGCAGCTGGCAGGGCTGCGCCAGCACACGTGTCTGGCCGCTCCGGGCTCTTTTGCACGTGGGTGCCGTTCGTCATTATCACCAGGCTCCGGGGGTACAGCGCGGTCCTACGAGGGCGACCGGCACATGGCTGGGAGGACCTGGATGGAGTCCCTCCTAGAAATGTGCTGTGCTGATGGAGAGGTCGGATCGGGACTCCAGAGGCTTCATAGTGAAGGAGCCAGCAGAATTCATACCTGCCAGAGAGAGAGAAAAAAATCCCATTACATACATATATATATATATATATATATATATATACATATACATATATATAAATATACATACATACATATTACTGTGCAAAAGTTTTAGGCAGGTGTGCAAAATGCATGAAAAGTAAGAATGCTTTCAGAAATAAAAGTGTTAATAGTTTATTTGTATCAATGAACAAAATGGAAAGTAAATAACCAGAAGTGAAATCCAAATATATATTTGGCGTGACCAGCCTTTGCCTTCAAAACATCATCAATTCTCTAAGGTACACATGCACACAGTTTTTGAAGGAACTCAGCAGGTAGGTTGTTCCAAACATCTTGAAAACCAACCTCAGATCTTCTGTGGATGTCGGCTGCCTCAAAGCCTTCTGTCTTTTCATGTAATCCCAGACAGACTCCATGTTGAGATCAGGGCTCTGTGGGGGCCAAATCCTCACTTCTAGGACTTCTTGTTGTTCTTTATGAAGATAGTTTTTAATGAGATTGGCTGTATGTTTGGGGCCGTTGTCCTGCTGCAGAATACATTTGGGGCCAATCATATGATCCATGATGGATAAGTATCTGCTTGTATTTCTCATTGAGGACACCATTGATCCTGACCAAATCTCCAACTCCATTGGCAGAAATGCAGCCCCAGACTTGCAAGGAACCTCCACCATGCTTCACTGTTGCTGCTGACACTCATTATTGTACTGCTCTCCAGCCCTTCGGCAAGCAAACTGCCTCCTGCTACAGCCAAATATTTCAAACTTTGATTCATCAGTCCAAAGCTAAAAACAAAAAGCGCACAGCTCACCCCTATCATGCGTCCTGCAATCCACACTCAGTGCACAGGTGACTCTTCTGGAGTGATAGGCTCAAAAACTGTAGAACCAGTCCAAAGCACCTGTTGATATTTTTCTGCACCTAAGTGCCTATGTTTTTGTGCATAGTTGAATCGCTTAGCCTTGTTTCTATGTCGGAGGTATGTCTTCTTGGCCGCAGAAAAATGGCAGCAGGTGCTCTGAACTGATGAGTCAACATGTGAAATATTTGGCTGTAGCAAGAGGCAGTTGCAGGGGCTGGAGAGCAGTACAATAATAAGTGTCTGCAGCAACAGTGAAGCATGGTGGAGGTTCCTTGCAAGTCTGGGGCTGCATTTCTCCCAATGGAGTTGGAGATTTGGTCAGGATCAATGGTGTCCTCAATGCTGAGACATACACGCAGATACTTATCTATCATGTCATACCATCAGGGAGGCGTGGGATTGGCCCCAAATTTATTCTGCAGCAGGACAACAACCCCAAACATACAGCCAATGTCATTAAGAATTATCTTCAGCGTAAAGAAGAACAAGGAGTTTGTAAGGGAAATTGCACTTTGCAGGGGAAGTTTCCCTTTAGCTTGGTAAATATGGTGAAATTTAACTTCGTAAAGATTACCCAATCATGTGCAAGGAAAATAAAAACAGTATTTTTGCTTGCATATGATTGGAAGATGGAAGTCTGCAGTGCTTCTCCTCATTCACTAAACTAAGGGAAACTTCCCGTGCAAACTGCAAATTTCCTTGCAAAGTGAACAGACTATTCGTCTTTAGTAAATCGACCCCAAAAGTGTGTATTTACCTATATGTGTGAATGTGACAATATTAAAGGGTGTGCATTGCCAAAACCTTTTTTCCATTCACTTCCCACCCTGAAGACTCAACAGTTAAAGCTGAACTACAGGCACAAATACAATAATCTGAATATTAAAAAGATGTAAAGTACAGCGCTAGCAGCCTCTCGGTCATAAATCCGAATAACTATAACGGGTATAGTATCAGTAATGAGTGAAAATGCATTCACAAAGGGAATAAAATGATATGTATCAAACACATTAATGTAAATAAAGTGTGAATTTAAGTGCCAGTGAGTAGCAACCAAGGAAAAAATATATATTAGATTTAGTGATATTAATCAAAAAAGTGTGAAACCACTCTCCAAGAAACAACCAAGGTAAACTATATTAAATTGAATGATAATAATCCAAAATATGTAGTAGAACTGAAGGGGTGCTGTACGGACTATTCACAATAGCCCGTACAGCTCCCGATCATGGCCGAGCGGCTCGGCCATGAAAACATAAGCTCTACTTTGTGTTGCTTGCGTTGATGAATGCAGGAATGTAAATGCATGAGCTAACCATTTTTGTCTAAACTGTGAAGCAGCATTATATATGCATCATGTGCATGATTTTTCCATATATGGCATTAGTGGAAATATGCTTCTAGAGACTTTTTGGTTGATAAATACGTTTTGCTGTGTAAAAATCACACGCACCTAGTGCGTGCGTGTGTTTAGGTTAGTAAATCACCCCCCATGTGTCAGAACCTACTGCTGTTCTAACAACAAAGTGCTACGCAAAATGTATCGGTGAAGCAATGTTGCGAAAACATAGGTGAAAACAATGTTGCAAACACCACATTAATCACAAAATAGCAACATAGTATATACAATGTGTATAACCAAAGTGATAAAAAGGATGTGTATCCTTAAGATCTCTCGTAACTGGCCAGAAAGAACCAAAGGTAAATCTTCTATTTAAATCAAGCTTAAAAAGAATAAAGAATATATAACAATAAATAAATAGATACATCGCCAAAGGAAGTCCGTGATCTTTCAGTCTTTTTCCTTCTCAGACGAATCCAAAATAAACACATGAAAACATGGAAAACATCAAACACTAAAGAGATTTTCTATAATTTTCTATATCTTCCCGAAAATACACCCCAACAGTGAAATCGAGTATGTATTTCAATTATGTGAAGTGCCCAATGAAAATCCAAAGAGGTCCCCTCAAGGGTATGCACTCACCAGAACTCTGATGTTAAAAGCCGCTTGTATCGTCAGGTGGAAACCGGAGTTGTACGTCCTCTCGTCAATACCGCTCACTGGGATCTCAGAGTCCAAGATGAAAAAAACAGATTACCTCACCGGGATAAAAACCGGGGGATCTGCGTCCTCAGAGCTCCCTAGGATCCTGGATTATATTTCCATCGAGACGAAAAAACTGAGAATCCACTCACAGTGTGGTAAATTAGAGATTTATTGGACAAAAGGACACCACAATAGCGCTTAGGTTTAAAATGTAAAAAAAAATATTTAATTTTTTAGGCTAGTCACTCAAACCAGTGACTCCTTAGACTGGAAACGTGACGTAAACTGTAGGCCCGCCCCCGATGCGTTTTGTCATACAGACGTTCTCAAGGGATGGCAGGTCTGAGAGAACGTCTGTATGACGAAATGCGTTGGGGTGACCAGTCACTTTACACAAGGAAAGAGATCCACGGTGACTGGTCTTTATTACAGGAAGTTCCTGTACAGAATCAAAGTGTAACAGTGGATTACTGCACATATCTGGAAGTAATACACAGATCACACCAAGATGCAATCGAAATACACATGGCGGTTGTATTTAGACAATATTTGCTTATGTTAGAGTTCAGCTTCAATACCAGAACAGGTGTCCCCATTGGAAACTTTGCTCCCAGCTCTTGTTCTGGTGACAACTATAAAGTTGTGGATTTCCCATCACTTTCTGGGACAAGCGACGGTGGTCATCAGGACAAATAGAGATCTACCTAGCAGGACACAGACAAAAATACAGACGTGACAGGATTCAAATGATTTCCTACTCCATCCAAACATTAAAGGATAAGTTCACCTTTTGCAAAAATTAAAGAAATGCATAATTCATTTGTATATATATATATATATATATAAAAAAAATATGCATCTCTTTAATTTTTGCATTGAAGCCTGGAAAGCATTGCAATTGTGATCACTTGATCACAGATGCAAAGCTCAGGCTTCTGCACATTCTCTCCCAGGCAGAGCTCCTACTGAGGGAGTTTCAGTTAGGAGAGTTGGGGTGAAGGACAGCTGGACTTCAAACTACATTAAATCACCTCATACAGCGTCCAACCGTCCTCCCTCTAGGTAGAGTTGCCCAACTTCCCACATCTACCTAGAGCAAGGACAGCTGGACGGCAATGCTTTACAGGCTTGAAGGCAAATATTAAAGAAATGCATATTTTTTTATATATTATTAATGATGCATTTCTTTAATTTTTGCAAAAGGTGAACTTTAAAGCTGATCTCCGGAATAAGAAAATATTGTCTAAATACAAGTCATGTGTGTTCTTACTTGAATCTTGGTGTGTTTTGTGTTTCTTCCAGATCTGTGCAGTAATCCAGTTTGAAACCTTTCCTCCATGTTGGAGTTTCCTGTAATAAAGACCAGTCACTGCTGCTCTCCCTACTTGTGCAGGGTGACTGCTCAGCACTGGCACTTAACGGAGCACACTCCGAGTGCTGGTCATGTAAATTCTGCTCTATATCATTACTCACAAAAGTGTGCCTGTTCCAGAAGGTTGGGGATGGGGGGGGGGGTGTTTCTATGGTGTGGTAATGAAAGCAGAGAGGTTAAGGTGGTGGTAGGTGTAGTAATGACAGTCTGGGAGAGGGAAATGCGGTTGTGGGGAACAGGGTTGGCATGAAAGTGTGGTGTTGGTATACAGATATGGTGGTTGGGGGAGTTTAGCTGGCTAACTGGTAATAATACAGGTTGACCGGAGATTATGGTTAGTGGGATTGAGGTCTGGACTGCACTTACCAAACTCCTGCCAGCCCTTCTTC